GGGCCTCTGGGAACATGTTCGTATGTTTGCTGTCTAACCATCATTAATTTTATGTTTTGCATCTGATATCTGATATAGATAGTCAGCTTATTGATTATGCAGGGGCCAAGAGTAACTAATACTAGAATCATAACAAGAGGACAAGGTGTTGTACTCTAAGAAAATAGCTTCGTTATATGTGTATTATAGCAAACCTGTAAAGTGGCTTACTAAATGTTTTTTTATCCTTTTTCCCTAACTGATATGTTAAGTGACCTAATTGATATGTTGAGCAACACTCTCCTCTGTAAAGAATTGCAAGAATCTCCCCTAATTGATATGTTAACCATTGTTGCCCTCTACAAACTACAGAAGTTGTGCTAAAACAAGCTAACAAGGGTTGTTAATCACTGTTAGGTGCCTCTATTCTCCGCTAAAGAGCTAAAGAAAACTAGAATGGCCCATTAATTTACATTTGTTTAAAGTAACCTTGTTGTGTGCAGAGAGATTTGTGTATGAGTTTAACCCTTTACCCTGACCTTGACACATTACCGCCATTTTCTGTTCTGTATGGTGCCTTATTGCCTCCCTCTCCCCTCACCTATCTATCTAGGCCATAAAGAATTTGGGTTTCTAGTGACCTCCTCCTGACCCGGTGATGATCTGTCATAAAATGAGCCTGCCCCAAAGTTTAAGAACTGTTTAGCTTCAAAGAAATTACCGGGAAATACTATGGCCCAAACCCCAATCGGTGCTTTCCTTTTGCTCTGTATGCATCAAATGAGTTGCATATCAGATCTTTGTAAAACTTAAGTTTCAGCTTCTTGTAACTCTTGACCTCTTCACACCCACTAGTGAAAACGAGCTGTCCTGGGATAATTAACTGTCCACTTTCTTCCCCAAATATTGCTGCAGATGTGCCCCTCCGAGATAATGTCAGTCTGTAGGATGGGAGTAATTTGAGAAACACCAGGAACTCCAGAGATTGTCAGAGCTAAGTGGACAGCAATATAGTTTCCAGACTCGGGTGAACAAGTTTGATGGCTCTGCAGGTTTCTTTGCCCCCCCCCCTTTTCCTCCAGCCTGTTTTTAAAGTCCTCCCTTCAGTCTCTGGGGGACAGTCTCCAAATTGGCTCCCGGAGACTGGTTGCCAGGCCTGGAAATAAAGCCTTTGCCACCTAAATTTTCAGTCTCTTGCCTCCTTGGATTTTATACTGGGGCCCAAGTTATAACACAGGTAACGTCGCTATTATACTAGTCATCCAGGGTGGGAGGGAGAAGATTTGTTCCATCCACTTTGGAGTTCCTTGTCTTAGTTTTTCTCTTCCCTGTAGACATTTCTGGAGTTTGACCAAATTTTGTTTTACTATCCCAGACTTATTAGCACACAGGCAGCATTGTTCCACTAATGCCAAATGCAATTCTCCTTTTTCGGCTAGTAGGAGGTCTAGCCTTCTATGATTTTGGAGAGCTACTTCAGCTAATATGCCGACTGAGCTTTCTAAGGCCTCAATGTCATTGTGATTTTCTTTCATTCCTTCATCTACTCGTTGCGATAACATGTTGTAATGGTGCATACTAACTCCCAGGGAGGCAGCTCCCAGCCCGAGGACTGAGAATATACTGATTCCAGCCATAATAGGAAGAACTGGACTTCTCTTTTCTCTTTGGTGGTAGGTAGAGATGAGGAACCTATTTTCTTCTTCTTCAGAATGCCAGTAAATTCTAGGCAGGATCTGGGTCAGCACACAAACTTCATTCTGGCCAATAGCAAACTTTCTTGAAGCAATACAGGGGCACCATCCCAAAGTACAAGCCCACCAATTGCTGGCTGGGGCCACTATGGGAGTATTATTACCAGACCCTGTAATGTGATAGGAATGGGAGAGATCAAAATATTCAGGAGCCGTGTGGCTACAGTGATATATATAGGTCCCATTTAAACCCTCTAGACTGGTACTTTTCCACAGAGATTAAGGGAGAAATATATAACACCTGGTGGCACTGGAGGCTAGTTTACTGGTGACTGTGATGTAACCCTTATAGAAGGGAGGCTCAGGGGACAGACATAGACAACATGGGATTGTCAGACCGCTGTCAATGGAGCCATTAATTAGCTCAGCTACTATTTCTAAGGGCTGGAATATCTCCATCATTGAGGGTGGCATGGGGATTTCAGGCTCAGCACCAGTTATTAACAAAGGTGTAAGTTCCTGCCTAGACTTCACTGGGCCAGTTTCTTGTGGCCTCTTAGTGGTTGCAGGTTGGAATGGTGTTTGATCTGGACCAGGCACCTCAACTTTGATCCAATATTTGAGGTCCCCTTTCTTTTTCCACATGCACATTTTTACTTGGGGTTGGTTTGCATCATATAGAATTCCATTACAAAGAGCTTCAGCCACTGGGGCCATTGAAGTGTGCCTCCAGAATCGGCTTGGAACGGACTTTGGCACCTTTATTGGAGTAGGGACCACCACTGGGCGGCGTTCCCTTTTGTATTGAAATACAAGATCTTTTCTTGGTGGTTTATATAGAATGTTAATATTAACTCCAGGATCATACCCAGTACAATAGATCTTAACCCAGAGTACCTCCTTTTCGGTGTTCACTCTTGCCCCAGCCGCTCATTTGCTATTCTGGATGAAGCTACTCCCATTGATGAAATAGTTGTTGGCATCTCCCAAACACTGATTGGTGAGATCAACCCGTAGGTTCTGTTGTAGATCGAGGATGTCAGCACACTCATGGAGAAGTGTATTTTGACTCTCTGGGTCATCATCGGGCATAAGGGTGGCTGGGTTTAAAGCTCCAGAAGTTTTGAAATCTACTGACTCTGGGTCTAGCAGCAGAGCCTGATAGTGTAAAATTCTAGCGTTTGAGAGCCATTTTTTAGGAGGGGTTTTGATAAGAGTCTCTAAACTGTGGGAGGTCACCACAGAAATCTTTTGTATAAAAGTGAGTTTTTTAGCCTCCTTGAGTAACATCACCACAGTGGCTAGGATTCTTAGGCATGGGGGCCACCCTCCTGCTGCTGATCGAGTCTCTTAGAGAGGTAGGCTATAGGCCTTTTCCAAGGGCCAATGTCTTGAGTCAAGACTCTTTTTACAATGTCTATGATCTCATCTATGAACAAGGTAAATGGCTTGGTAACATTAGGTTGTCCCAGGGCTGGAGCCTCGGTCAGGGCCTGTTTGAGCTATTAGAAGGCCTGCTTACATTCTTTGGTCCAGTCTAATGGCTTTTGGGTCTCTCCCTTAAGAGAGTCATACAGTGGGTGAGCCATTTCAATGAAATTTAGAATCTACAGCCTACAGTACCTGATAGCTCCCAGAAACTTGCGTACTTGTTTCTTAGTTTCTAGAGTTGGTATCTGTAATATGGCTTGGACTCTTTCTCTAGACAAAGTTCTTTTTCCTTCTTGTAACTTGTGGCCCAGGTGAATCACAGTCTGGTGCCACAACTGGGCCTTCTTAGCTGAGATGTTATAGCCTAATCACCCCAAAGTCTTTAACAGTTCCTCGGTTGCCTCTCGACATGTCTCTAATGAAGAGGAGGCTACCAACAAGTCATCCACATACTAGAAGAGCACCATCTCGGGATGTTCTTCCCTAAATCTCAAAAGATCTCTGGCTAGTGCCTCATCAAAAAGGGTTGGCGAGTTCTTTTTTGTTTTTGTTTTGTTTTGTTGTCTTTTTAATTTTTATCGGTACCAAGGATCAAACTCACAACCGCCTGCTTGCAAGGCAGGTGCTTATGCCGCTGAGCTAAATCCCCAGCCCCTTTGTTTGTTGGTTTTGCTTTTTGGTGTTTTTTTTTTTTTTTTTTTGTCTTTTTCATTTTTATCAGGTGGGCGAGTTATTAAAGCCCTGAGGTAAGCGAGTCCAGGTCAGCTGTTCCTTCACTCTGAATCTGGGTCAGTCCACTCAAAGGCAAATGGGAGTTGTCTCACTGGTGCGAGGGGCAGAGTGAAGAACACACCCTTGAGGTCCAAAACAGAGTACCAGGTATTCTCTGGATTGAGGAGGCTAAGAAGAGTATAAGGGTTAGGCACCATTGGGTGTAGAGTCAATACTCATCTATTGACCTCTTGGAGATCCTGTACAGGACCATAGTCATTTGTCCCTGGCTTCTGGACTGGAAGTAGAGGTGTATTCCATGGAGAGACACAAGGAATCAAGATACCATTTTCTCTTAATCTCTGAATGTGGACTTTGATCCCTTTTCAAGCTTTGATCCCTTTGTAGGCTTAATGGGTATTGTAAATGGGGCATCCCTAGGGTAGGCGCTCCACCACAAGGGGCAGCTGGTTAATTGCTAGCCCTTAGGGATTGGTTTCAGCCCAAACTTCTGGGATTTCCTGCTTCCATTTGCTTAATAATTTTAATTCTAAGTCAGTTTTTAATGGCACAGGTACACCTGACAAATTTCCCAGTAGGCGGTAATTTTCTTCTTCTGGGACAAGAGCTAGCCCTCTGATGCCTTCTGAGTCCAGAGTTGTATCCACCCCCAGTTTTAGTCTTGGCTCATGTGTAATGAAGTCAATATGCACTTGCAATTTATGGAGGAGGTTTCATCCCAAGAGAGGGTCTGGACAGTCAGGAACCCATAGAAAATCATGTTGGGACCAGTTTATGTCCAGGTCAAGCCATACTAGCTGTCACTTTTGGGTACGATATTCATCTCCCTGCAGCTCTGATTACATTGACTGAACTCTTGGTTAGCTTTCCTAAAGGTCGGGTCAGCACAGAATAGGTGGCTCCTGTATTGACCAGGAAGTCCACCAGTTGCCCTCCCACTTGAAGAGTTATCCAGGGCTTGGGGGGTGGTGTCGATCCTGACCTCCTCATTGTTGAGACAACAGGGCCTTTGCCTCTTTTTCTAGCTTGCCTTTAACTTTGGGCCATCTTCATGCCAATGTCCCATCTCTTTGCAATATGCACATTGTTCTTTATCTAAAGGAGGCCGCTGGCCTTTAACCTCCTTTTTCCCAATGCTAGTCAATCTTTTAGCTTCTTTCTCACCAAGCAATTCCAAACCTTTAGTCATCTTTTTATTTGTGGCTTCTTGTAGGGTCTCCCTGTTGTTGAAAACCTTCTGTGCTATCTCTATTAGCTGGATGAAGGGCATCCCTTCAAATCCCTCAAGTTTCTGTAACTTTTTCCTAACATGGGGGTCCGACTGAGACACAAAAGCAATGTTAATCACTTGAGTGTTTTCAGATGCCATTGGATAAATTGGAGTACGTAATCTATAGGCATCTAGGAGGCGCTCCAAGAACATAACAGGAGACTCATTGGATAACTGTCTTACCTCACTCACTGGAGACAGATTGGTACACTTGTTAACAGTGGCACAAAGTGTGTCTCGGGGCCTCAGGTGATAATCATCAAGAGCCTTCTTACCTCCATCCGTGTTGGGGTCTCATTCATGTCGAGAGGAAGGGAATAGGTGTTCAAGTCTCTGCTGATCAGCAGGTGGAGATCCACCCAGATCCCAAACTCCCTTTTGTCCTACAATGTAGATACACATTCTTTCCTCGGTCATAAAAAGAATGTGCAGGATCTGCTAACTGTCGTCCCAAGTGGGGCGATGGGTAGAGAAAACAGATTCTATAAGGTTAATCAGAGTTCTGGGTCCTTTGAGAAAGGGGGGTTTTGAGCTTTCCAGTTAGAGGTCAGAGAAAGACAAGGAGGTGTACACAAACATGGAGCCCCCTCTTGGGGGTGGGGACTTCCTGCAAAGAGTACAGTGGTGCTGCTTCGGGATATTTCTGGAGGTCCTTCCTGCCATGAGTGGCAGCGGGTTTGGATAAGATGCTGTGGTGCAGTCAGGGTGGGGTCCAGGGGCAGGGTACAGGGGAGGGGGCAAGGGAAGAATGTCTAGTGTGTCAGAAGGGTCCTCACTTGGAGGCCATACTGGAGGTGCATTGGGTCCAGGTGCCGCCTCTTCTGCCTTTGTCTTCAGTTTGAGGCCTGCTAGAACTCCATCCTGAGAGGGCTTAATCCATGAGGGGGCATCATAGATTATATCTATCCAAATCTGAATATAGACAATTTGATCAGGATGAGAAGGGGGCCCAAACACATACTGGTGAACAATCTGTGCAGTTCCCAGGTCAAAAGATCCAGAAGGGGGCCAGATCCCTTGGCTCCCCAGTGGCCACTCCTGTGTGACAAAAGTTGTTAATCTGCCCTTATGAACCTTTTCCCCATATCTCTCAGCTCATCACTTAAATTATTTGAAGTGATCAAGCACAAGGCTGAGGGGAGCACTGGAAAAACACCGATGACCGATGACCCATGGCTGGCAATGCCGCTGGTTTACTTTTCCTGTCAGGAAATTTAAGAGACAAAGACAGGGTCAGAAGGAAAAGAACAATTATTAATGAAACCAAGAGAATGGTTAAAATTGCTCTGGTTGGCTTTGGGCTTGCAGAAGTGGTTCCTAGGAGAAAATGTTCTGTCAGAGTCAGGTGACTAAAAGGACAATTAGACCACATAGACACAAAGCCAAACATAAAAGACATGACACACTGCAGCAAATAAAATGGCCTTTGCTCAAAAAGTCAATCAATTCTGTATTTCTGGAGGGATTTACTGAACTAGTCAATGGTGCAGTTCGCTACCTGAGGCAGAGTCACAAACGGACGGAGTACTCCCCAAAGCCAACTGACTCCGGACTCAGGAGCTCCCTGCACCCCAAATTGAGGGCATCCCCTCTAAAAGTACAAAAATACAAAGTGACCATGGCCCAAACAAACCCTCCAGAGTACTTACTTTCAAATGTTCAGAATTGAGTTTGGGGTCTTGTTCCCATCCCAGAAAAGCCCCCAAATGTGATAGCTCAGACCCCAGAATAAAATCCAAAGAAGCAAGAAATTAAAATTTGGGGAGCAAAGGCTTTATTTCCAGGCTTGGGGGCACAGTCTCCTTAGGATCTACCCAAAGACTGTGCTCCTCACAGTTGTGGGAAGAGGCTTTTAAAGCTGAAAACCACAGGAATGTTGTAATCACTGACAGCAATAGCATCTGGGCTTTACAGAACTTCCTGAACTTTCCTTGAAGTTAAGCATTTTCTAAAGAAAAACACATTTTGTTATAGACCACCAGGTAGGGAAGGGGGTTACAAGAAACTGAAACCTAAAGCTTTTATGGACTTTCAGGAAATTGAATCTTAACCTAGATGGATAGGAAGGGGAAGGGGGAAAGAGGAAAGAGGAGGCAGTGCAGCACAAAAAGAACAGAAATAAGGCGCAATGGTTAGAGCTCTGCTATAACAAACAATAGCTTGAAATGTACTACAGTTACCACCACCTTCCCCAGGAAGTCCATCTATTACCATACTCAATGATCAGAACAACTGGACTTTCATTCCCACAAAATGCCTTGGCTCTTTCTGCATATCTTTTCAGTGCCTTGTTACCCTTCTGAATAATATTAGTTAAGCACCTATAAGCTTATAGGTTGATTGTAGTTTGAGACCCACACTGTACTCATATTCTGACTTTGCTGTATAAATGACCCCTGACAATAGATCTGTGGCCTAAACATTGAAGACCACTCATGCAAAGGCAGGGCTATTCTGTCTTTTTTTCTAAGAAAACTTTTTGAACTTCTTTTGATTTGTGACTTCATTCTTCAATGTTGTGAGCCAACCAACTTGCTGCATTTGCCATCAAATAGGGTAGGATTATATTTCTCCTATTTTAATTTGAATATGAAACATGTGCTAAAGGCCATGATTCAAAGCCTTGATTTCAACCTGTTTGTTTGCTCTGAGTTTGACATTCCCATGAGCTTTTGGACCTCCTGTCTAGTAAAGTGCAGATGTATTGGAGGAAGGAGGCCACTATTGTGATATAGCACAAAAGTTCCCATTTATAACTGTATTTTTCACTGCCTCCTGGGTGCCACTTCATGACCAGCTTTCCTCTGCCACATCATTCCATAATTCCCATTTTAGTTAAGTCAACTTTCATTCAGCTCCACTATTTTTGTTTTCTTTTAATCATCTTTCTCTGTTCCTCAGTTTTTTATATTTTTCATTTTTCTTTTTTGTTTTTAAACACATAGTCCCACTTTTAGTTCTGGCTGACCTTGCACTCACTATGTAAGGTAGTCTGTCCTTGAATACATGGCCTTTCTCCTGTTTCAGCCTCTTAAATGCTGGGTAAAGAGGTGGGTATCATAACACATGGTGTTTGTCTTTTTTATTCTCTCCTTTTCACTATTACTCTTTCCTTAAGGTGACACTGTAGTTAATCCAGGTACTTGTTTGGGTCAATAAACCTTTCTGGAGCTTGAGATCCCATTTGCGAACAACAATATAGGAATCCAAGAAGCCAAAGAGTAAATTTGGAATATAAATAGCTGTGCTCAGAACCACTTCTATACAGACTCACCTCCCCCATTTCAAAATCTAAACAAGTGGTCCTGGAATGGAAGTTAAGAGTTTTTAAAAGAGTTGAATCACAAAGAACATTCGATTGGAAACAATGTAGCTAGAATCTCATGTTAATTTTTGTCTGACACCTGTATCCTGTTTTTTTTTTTTTTTTTTTTTTTTTTTTTTTGAGCAGGTTAAATTTTTTTCTTTGGCTACAGCTCATTTTGCTTTTCTTATTGGACTTATACACTGAGTGATTTTCAATTTTCCTGGGTCAAATACAAGGCACTAGTTAAATGTAGGGCTCAAGATGGCATGATTTATGCCAAGCTACAACATAGCTAGGATACAGTGCCAAGCCTTAATATTTTCTAGGTAAAAACGCACATAATATTTGACTATTCCAATATTTGTTATGCTCAGCATTATAATAAAGCCTGATCTAGAGTCATAAAAGGCTAACATCACCAGGTCTCTCAATATTTTTCACTGGTCTTTTTCTTCATCTTCCATGAATACTCTCTGAGTTCATAATATTGGTACTCATATTTGACACATATTCCTAGCTGTGATATCTCTTCTTTTTTCAGTAGTGTAGTCTGTTATCCCCAGCCCATAAAATATAGAAACACATCTTCTAATTCCCTACACTCCAGTGGTATTATGAGTTAATTTGGAGACTTTTCCTTTAGGGAAATGACAGTTAATGAGTACATGTGTATCTCATGACTATTTCCTCATCTTTCAAATAACACCAGGAATTCTTTCAGGTGTTAGGCGCACACCTGTAATCCCAGGACTTGGAATGCTGAGGTAAGATAATCACTGTGAATTTACTGGACTAAGGTGTCAGTCCACAGTCAGCCTGAACTGCATAGGGAAACTCTGTCTGAAACAAATAGGGAAAATATCTATTATTGTTGATATCCTTGAGAAGAAGAACTCCATAGTTTGAAACTCTTAGGATCATACATTTTAGGATACATCAGGTGAACATAAAAGCAAGTAGGACTAACTTTAAGGATATCGAAAACTCAAAAAAATCATATTTCAAACTCTTATACAGATTTAATGCAATGCCCATCCAAATACTATTAGTTTAGCTCACAAATATAGAGAAAAATTTTCTAAAATTCATTTGGAAATAGATAAGATCTAGAATACTAAAGACATTCCTGGCCAACAAAGGTAAGTCAGGAAGCATTACAGTTCTTCACTTGCTATAATACTAGAAAGCTACTGTCACAAAATCACTAGAGTACTGGCAGAAAAACAGACCTGATAATCTATCAAAGAGACTAGAAGATGGAGACACAACTACAAACACAGTCTGCTACCTTGTCTTTGATAAAGGAGCCAAATATGTTCACTGCAAGAGAGATAGCCTCTTCAATAATGCTGAAGAAAATGACTTTCCCCATACTGAAGACTTAAACTGGGTCCATGCCTATCCCTATGAAATAGACAAAAGTCAAACTAGCTTGGAGATATAAATATTACAACAGAAACACTAATGAGGCTTCATGAACAAAACACAAATTTTGAAGAATCAACTTCAAAGAATCAACCACTGGGACCCCATCTTACTAAATAATATTTGTACATCAAAAGAAATCATAAACAGTAAAAAACAATGCACAGTTTGGGCAAGGGATATCTTTCCATTTTCTGATAATCTCTTCAGTATCCTTTTACTAAGTACTGTATTTTCAATATGTAAGCCCTTGACATTCTTTGTTAGGTTCATTACAACTATTTCATTTTCTTGGAGGCTATTGTAAAGGGTGTGGTTTTGTAACTTCTCTCTTAGTGAGTTGATTGTGTACAGGAATGCTCTTGATTTTCGATTGTCAACTTTGTGTTCAGTTACATTATTGAATTTGGTTAAGTCTAGAATTCTTTTGGTGGAGTAATTGACATCTACATAGGAATATCATGTCATCTGGGAATAATGACAGTTTACCTACTTTCTGGTATGTGATTATTCTTATCTGTCTCTTATGTCTAATTGATCTGCCTAATGTTTCCAGATCTTTATTGAATA